GATGCCGGAAAATGATCCTTTCCGAGAAAGACACCGCGGCGCTTGCAAGAGTTGTCATGTTATCGGAGACGATCATGTGAAAGGACCTCTCGTATTCTGCCAGGGATGTACCAGCAGTTTCCACCATTCATGCCTGGGTCCTCGGGCTGCCCGAGACCATCTGGTCACTAAAGTCACCGAAGACTTGTTTGTCCTTCAATGCCGGAACTGCCTGGGAGTTGCTCATTCGAAAGACCCAATTGTACCTCATCAGGGTCATTGTGCTATCTGCAATCGCGAAGGGAACATGTCAAGGCCACTGCGGGATCGTCTAACGCCGAAGCAGGAACAACAGTCTCGGCAGCAGAACGGTGGGAAGGATCCTATAACTTTCGTCGATATGTCGCGGGTCAATAATGTGGCTAATCTACTATTCCGTTGCACTACTTGTCATCGAGCCTTCCACTTCGAGCATCTATCTGACGTCGCTCATCTTACGTGGCATTGCCAGGACTGTGCTTCAGTCCCGGGAGAAGTCGGTGCTGTAGTTGCCTGGCGACCAGTCGACCCAAAGGCGAAAACCGCAAAAGAAGCGGAGCGGGAGTATCTTATCAAATGGAAAAATCAATCCTACGGCCACGCGACCTGGATGCCTGGAAGCTGGGTATGGGGCTTTGTTAACCATATCATGCGTCGGGCCTTTCTCAAGAAGAAGCTCGCACCGCAAAGGACTATTGAAGAAGCTGTTCCAGATGATTATTTACGGATCGATATCATCTTCGACGTTCGCTATTCTAGCTCATCGCCGCCTGGGGAAAGCAAGCGGCGGTCGTACGAAGCAGACCTGGAGCGGATTGACAATGTGTCTCAGGTATATGTCAAATTCAAAGGCCTTCCGTATGAGGAGGTAGTCTGGGATACACCTCCTGATCGGAATGATGTGGAGAGATGGGAGGACTTCAAAACTGCTTTTGCGGACTGGGTCAAACGGGAATACGTCCGTCAGCCGAACCAAGAAACCTTGAGAAGACATCTCGCTAAGAAGAAAAAGAAGAACTTCCAGACTGATCTGGTCAAAGACCATCAGCCCACCATTATGACGGGTGGAGAGATGATGGACTACCAACACGATGGTGTCAATTGGCTCTACTACATGTGGTTCAAACAGCAAAACGCCATTCTTGCCGATGAGATGGGTCTTGGAAAGACGATTCAAGTCATTGGCTTCATGGCTACCCTGATTCAGTACCACAGATGCTGGCCTTTCCTGGTGGTGGTGCCTAATTCCACCTGTCCCAACTGGCGCAAGGAAATCAAGTCATGGGTTCCTTCAATGCGGGTTGTGACATACTACGGGTCTGCATTTTCTCGCAATCTTGCCAAAGAATATGAGATGTATGCTGATGACGATCCTACTCTCCGATGCCACGTCGTCGTGACTTCGTATGAAACGATGGTTGATGATGCATCCCGCAGATTCCTGGCAAAGATTCCCTGGGCCGGGTTGATTGTTGACGAAGGCCAACGGCTCAAGAACGACAAGAGCCAGCTTTATGAAGCACTGTCGCGAATCAGATTCCCGTTCAAGTTGCTTTTGACGGGCACTCCGCTCCAAAATAACATCCGAGAACTATTCAACTTACTTCAGTTTTGCGACCCGTCAAAGAAGGCCTTTGACCTCGAACAAGAGTACGGCACGCTTTCACAGGAGAATATTACAAAGCTGCACGCAATGCTACGGCCTTTCTTCCTGCGACGGACAAAAGCGCAAGTGCTCACATTTCTTCCTCCAGTTGCCCAGATCATTGTTCCGGTCTCGATGTCTGTGGTACAGAAGAAACTATACAAATCTATCCTTGCCAAAAACCCTCAATTGATCAAGGCTATATTTCAGCGCAATGGGGCCAAGGCTTTGAAACAGGCCGAAAGACATAACCTGAACAATATTCTCATGCAATTGCGCAAATGTCTGTGTCATCCATTCGTCTATAGCAGAGCCATCGAGGAAAGAACTGCTGATAGGATGAAATCCCATCGGCACTTGGTGGATGCAGCTGGTAAACTTCAATTGTTAGAATTGATGCTCCCAAAACTCAAGGATCGTGGCCATAGGGTCCTCATTTTCAGTCAGTTTCTCGAAAACCTCGACATAATCGAGGATTTCCTCGACGGAATGGGTTTACCACATCTTCGCCTCGATGGTAGAATGAATTCGCTCGAGAAGCAGAAGACTATCGACGATTACAACGCGCAAGATTCGCCCTACTTCGCCTTTCTTCTCTCGACTCGGTCTGGTGGAGTCGGGATCAACCTGGCTACTGCAGATACTGTGATCATTATGGACCCGGACTTCAACCCCCATCAAGACATCCAGGCGTTGTCACGTGCTCATCGGATAGGGCAAACGAACAAGGTTCTTGTCTTTCAGCTTATGACCCGGAGCAGTGCCGAAGAGAAAATTATGCAAATAGGCAAGAAGAAGATGGTCCTAGACCATGTTCTTATTGACCGCATGGTGGCGGAGGAAGATGACGGGCAAGATCTTGAGTCTGTCCTCCGTCATGGGGCTCAGGCCTTGTTTGATGACGATGACTCTGGCGATGTACGATATGACTCTGAGTCTGTCGAAAAGCTCCTTAATCGCAGTCAAGCCGAACAAGCCAAGGCGCCGGTTGAAGGTGACCCGGAGTCTCAATTCAGCTTTGCTCGGGTGTGGGCAAACGATAACCAGAATCTGGAGGATCGCCTCCAGGAGATGACTGAGCAGACTGAGCAGGCGGTACCCAATGCTGACATCTGGGTCAACATTCTGCGCGAGCGAGAACAAGCTGCAGCTGAGGAAGCCAGGCGAAAAGCAGAGACATTTGGTCGTGGAAAGAGGAAGCGTACCAATGTTAATTATGGCAAAACTGCCAGGGAATCGTCCCCCGTCGATGATCATATAATGCGGCTGGCAGACAGCGACGGGGAGTACCAGGCAGAAGACGCCGTTGACTCCGATTCCGACTTGGCCCCTGAGCTAGACCGTGAGGAACTGGCGATCATCCCCAAAAGGACTAAAGGTAAGTGCTCGGTGCTATTAGGGTTATTCAAATTCGCTAATGCAAGCTACAGTTCGGGAATTCGAAAGAATTGCTCCCATCAGCTTGCTGTTGGCCATGGATGGCAGTGCGGAACCTGACCAAACTCAGCAGCCAACTTGTATTGCATGCAAGCAGGCTCATCCTATTGGTTCTTGTCGCTTGAGGTTGGCTGGTGTTGAGCATTGTCCTCTATGTGGTCTTGCCCACTACGGTTATTCGCGCACATGCCCGCACCTGAAGTCTGATGCACAAGTCGCCAGGATGCTGGACGCTATAAAGCATAGTACTGAAGACAAGGAGCTCGTTCTCCTAGCAAAAAAGTATTTGACTGGTATTCGTGGCAACCTTGCACATCGCAAGAGAAAGGAGGCCAGTAAGGCTGCAGCAGGCGGTGCGACTCTTCCTGCCCCCACCCCTGTTGCAACCAGCTTCCCCGTTGTCGACCTTACTACTGAACATCGCATGCAGCCAGCTGGTCCAGCATTGATGAATCCTGTACAGTCTCTCCCCTCCTCTACTCAGATACCTCAACACCATCCTACAAACGGGGTGTAGAGTGTACTTGAAGCAGCACGTGACGGTGGTGGTTTTGTTATTTTGTTCTCTTTCCTTGGAGATTGATTCAGCGTTACTTGGCTCAAGGATCTCGGAGTTCGTGATATCATAGCATTGGCAGGAGTTGCATTAAAAAAAACTATGTAATTACATTTTGTTTAGACAAGCAATGGACCTGAGGCAGATAAACTGGGTCACATGTTCGTGATCTTGGCCTTCCTTCCTGGTTGGCTCCGGGGGTTCAAACCAGAACATCCCGCCGACTGCATCTCGTTTGGGGATATCGATTTCAGAAACTCGAAGTAGACTTCATCTCGTTTGCAGCCCTCCCCTTCGTTCCGCGCATCGCGCATTGCGTATTCGCAGAGACTCTTCGCAAGACTGTTTGTGGATAATGCTGACTCATTCGTTGGATCGTTCGTGTCACCAACGTCACCCGCCGATATAATCGTTACTTATACTCTCCACGTTGCCAGTAGACCGCATCAAGGCTTATTGGGGATTGAATGTCAATGTCAGGACTTGAAACAAGATATGGGTGGACCCTATCAGGGGACACTCTTTCAGGCACAGCAGGGGCAAGCAAAGAATATCTGTCTATCGGCTTGATCCTCGACCTTTGGCCATTGAAATTCGCCCGGGTTCAATTGATGCAAAGAGAAAGCATGGCTTAAGTCAGAGGTATGAGGATGGAGGGAATCAGTCCAGCACGAGATATCATCCAGAGGCTGAATTTGGCGGAGAAACAGCAATTGCACCCTTTCCACTGAAGCGGACCAAACCCCCCATAATATGCGACCAGCGAGAAGGCTGCAGCCATCCGGGACGGTTGTACTGGCGAGCATCATCGGACAAACACTGACGGCATTTAGTCATGGCTGGATCTGGACCCTGCGAATGCTCTTATCCTCTGCGGAATCTTCGCGCTGGTATTTCTTTTTCTTTTTTTTTTCTGGTCTTTTGCCAATCTTCGGCCGGTTGAGAATCTTGTGATTTGCATTGGATTCTCGGGGCGGCGAACATTAGATGTGTTCTCAGCCTGGCTTTTATACTCTTGTTCCTATCGCTTCTTTTTTTGCGTGGCTGTTTCTGCAGGGTTATTAGTGATATAACACCGATCTCTGCAAACTCACACACCTGGGTTGCTCTTGTTCCTGGTGTGAATGGTGTATCGTTCTCTGTGTGGTGTTATCAACCCCTGTTGCCAACGCCTGTCTCAGTGAATGTTAACTGATTTTTTGCGGACCAGTGATTCACCGATTTTTAACACGGTCTTTCTTTCTGTTTAGTTCTCTGGATTCTCTTCTCCCTTATTTTATTTCTTAAATTCTTTGCTGTGATCGTGTTCCCCTCTTTACTTCCATCCCTCTACCTCTATCTCTCCACCATTCGTCTTTACACTCTTTCCTTTTCATCTCACATGGCGATATACTCCATTTTCTAGCATAGGTTATATCGCTTCCTGACACTCAGCTTCTCATCCGTCTATCCCTGCCAAAGACTGAGTCGCAAGTTTGCGCTGCCAAGCAGCCATGTCTTCGCCGATTCGCCCTCAGTTTTTCTGTACTCGCCCAAATGGCACCCTCACCCCCCTGGTTGCTGTCGACGAGCTGCCCTCACATATCTCAATTCGCGGTGCTCCCCGTACCCTCTCGCCAAGCGAAACTCAAGGCATGACTAGTCTGGGAACTGTCAGCTCTAGATTGCAATTCTATGCTCTCGAAGGCGCTCTCTCAAATACAACTCGCGCGTCATCCGGTAACGCACCTGGACATCGCTCCCGCGACACTGATGTGCAGGTGACGCTTATGAGTCTCGCTTCCGATGAAAACATACCAGTGAGTCAGAGAGTTGCTATCAGTGCGCTACTGCAACATGGTCTATCTCAGAACTGGTTTGCGACACCTCCATCATCTAGCGGCTGGCTGGTCTCAAGCAGCAATGTGAATCACCCAGGAAACTGTACTGCTAGACAGGTACGTGTTACTTAATATGCGACACACTAGAAAGACGCCGAGTTCCAAAGTAATCAATTTGATTAACCCTCTTGCAGAGCCCCCACTACAACTCGAAGAAAGAGTATTGCTCTTACTGGATCCGTCATGGCGAATGCGACTATCAGCAACAAGGCAAGCGGCTCATATTACATTGGGACAACATTAGCTCTAACATTTTCCATAGGTTGTCTCTACAAGCATGAAATGCCTCACGATTTGTCCATGCTAGAGAAGCTTGGTCTGCGCGACATCCCTCGCTGGTACCGCGATAAGTACAATATCCCCAGCCTACTTCCCAATGGACATGGACATACTCGTACCCCCCTTAACCATACACTCCCTGCACCCGATGGTGGTTCCTATAAATCGCTTCCGTATCACCCGCGCTTGGGTATGAATGAAGCCCCTGAAGCGCCTGAGATAAAGAAGGAACCTGAACAGGAATTTGCTGCAAACCAGCTCTCCATTCAGCAATCTCCATCGGGATTCCCTGGTGCCTCAAGACTCGCTCTGCCGGCTATGGACGTAGCGAAGGCTTCTAGGACTCAGAGGGTAGAGCCGAAGCACACTTCCAGCTCCAAGAATCTGGCTCTCAGGAAGCTTGATCTTCTGTCTTTTGACCCGCTCCCGGAGTTTGAATACTCATCTTTGAGGCCTGCCAATGGAAACAACTCGCCTGCTTTTGATCATTCACACGCGCAGAACAATACTGCTTACAAGAACGCTGTCACCGATCCGTTCGAAGGCCACTGCAGAGATTCGCGTGCAAGTTTCGGCAGTATCCAACCTTTCTTACCTGCCTCTCTTGGTATCAATCCGTGCCAGGGTTCAAGTATCTTACGGGATGCTGCATCTCAGGGACGTTCCAAGAAGACGCATAGGTCCCGTCGTTTGTATCAACCTCGATCACAGTTTCCAACGGAAGACCCAAGCTCTGAGATGGAAGAAAAAGTCGCTGGGGCGAGTTATTCTAGCCAGGCCACTCTTCCGTCGAACTGTACATCGCCTGCCTCAAGGGTCACATTCGGGGCTTTCGGATCTCTCCAGGCGCAGGTTTCCCTGGGTCTCATGCATGGATGTGCCGCATCCGAGCCGCCTACTCGAGATGCTTCCCCTTCTACACACTCTAGTACTGCTTCGTCTGAGTCCAGCCCTGGAAAGCGTCGCAATCACGTCAAAGGCAAGAGCCACAAGCCCAATTCCGGCACCATTGGTCAGAAGGTTTATCGCCAACGCTCTGTCGGATCTTCCGAAGATGAATTTTTCGGCGGCTTGTCCATGGAAGAGGAGAAGTAAATAGAGACCGGAGGGTGCTCACATGTTTATGGTCCGAGGCTTTCTTCTACTTGATCAAGAACCAGCTATTTTGCTAACCCCCCATCACACATAAATATGCGACTTTGCGGCTTTTCCAGGTGCTACGATGCAAAATACTATGATATGCTACACGGGATCTCCTTTGCGGAATAAATATACCTAAAAGGAACGAAGGCCTCCCCACTTGACTTGACGTTGACGTTGGAATGAGAAAAAAAACGGAAGTTCTGTTCGCCTACTACTACTACTACTACTAATCTAGCCTTGAAGGCGAAACTTGTATCCGAACACAGTGCTTTTTTCCCGGCGCCGTTCGCACATCATATGTATGCTGTCAATACTATGCTGCTGTTGTTGTTTTTATCTTTCTTCACTTTCTGCTTTCCAAGTTTCCTCTTTTCCCAGTTTTCATTTCCGTTGCCTCTACCCCGCTCTCTTGTTCGGAAAGACACGGTCTTGTGTGCGAAATGCAATATAGCAGAGGTCATGTCTATATTTGGTTGGGAGTTGAGCGGAGGCGATGGATTCGAACATGTGAAATATGAAGCACAGGCATGCCCTGATGCAATGAAACGGCCGTTGAGCTTTGCAGACGCTCGTCACTCTCATGGTAAATCTTGAACATGATGAATATTTTTGGATGGTGTAAGCACCTTTGTACTCTGGTAATGCGTGAGGATCCTCTCTTCCTTATCGCTTGACGGGAACACAACCAATAACCCCCGCCCCCCGGTGCCAAATCTGTGAAGATGGAATGAAGTATGATACATTGATATGAGTAATCTAGTACAACCCTGCAGAAAAGAGCAATTTGCGCCACCCTGTTTTGATCTGAGCTTACAGAGATTTCCGGGAAATTCGAAGGCAAAATAGGAGACAGAACCAGAAGAAAGAAAGAAAACCAGAAGAAAAAGAGCTCCAAGACCAGACACATCATACACACATATATAGACAAAAGTCCCTGAGCCCCCGGCAAATGATTCCCCAAGACGGGATTATCCATCGTCACACCCGCACACACGCGCGCGCGTGTGCATTAATCATCAGAATCTCATGTGGGCGCGGGAGGGAAGGGAGCCTCTGCGCACAATCTCCTACGCCCTCAGCGCATTCTGCGCTGCGGGGTTCTCGCCCCGACCTTGACACCGACCTTCCCGCCCTTCTGGTCCTCCTTGCCGGGGAGCCTGGCCATGGGGGCGGAGCTCAGCGCGGGCAGGATCTTGATGGCCTCGGAAATGATCTGGTTCCCATCGACGACGCCGTCGGGTAGTTGCTCCAGCTTGCGGGCCTTCTGGGCGGCGCGGTGGGCGTCGAGCTCGCGGCGGCGCTCGGGGGTCATGGCCCACTCGTCGGGGAAGCGGAGGCGGGTCTTGGGCTTGTGGTGGCGGAGGTCGAGCGGGACGTCGGCGAAGCTGTCGCCTTCCTTGGCCTCCTTGATCAAGGTCTGGATCAGGTCGCCCAGGTAGCGCTTGTTCTGGGCGCGGTGCTGGAACTTCTCACACGACATACGCACGATGTCGGTGTCCGGGTTGTAGCGCACGCCCACGAGCTTGAGGAAGGTCTGGCGCTGGGCCTCGGTCAGGTGCTTGGGGGTCAAATCCTTGGAGGCCAGCTCGACCACCACCTTGTGCTGCGCCGGGTGCTCTTCTCCCAGGTAGGTCGTGTACCGGAAGCGGAGGATGTGGGTTTCGGGGGGCAGGGTGAAGGGTTTGGCGAGTTCTGTGAGAGAGAGAGAGAGAGAGAGACGAATTCAAGTCAGCTAAACCTGCGCTTCTTTTTCTGGATGGTGCTTCGTTCTCAAGCTGGGGGTAGGGATCGAGTTAAAGTAAATGCTCCTCCCCCCACCCCCAGGAGTCAACGAAGCGCGGAAGGGGGAAAGTCATACTGCTCAATGACGGCATATCCCAGGCGGCGATCCGCGCGTATTCTCTGATCTCACGGTGCTCTTCCAGCTCGGCATAGGCCATGGTCGTTATGTCGTCGTCGTTGAATTCGTCGTCCATATCCTCGGTAATACCAAACTCGTCGGGCTCCTCCTCCGCCCAGAATCCCTTGGGCGGGAATCCTACATCCAGAAAGCGAAAGGGTTCGACTTGCTTGTCAATCGCGGCGATTCTCTGGTCGACCTCCGCCATGCGGGCCTTGCGTTTTTCCGGGTCGTTGAATTCGGCGATCATGCTCTTGTTCACCTTGTCGAAAGCCGCGCGATCTTCCGGGGACATCATGTCGTACAGGGACCGCTGCTCCGGGGTCAGGTTCTCGGGCGAGTACTCGGGCAGGTTGGGGTAATCCTCCAGGCGCCGTGGGCGAGCCTCAGGGATGACCGGATCTTCGGGCATGCGGGAGAGCGGCGTTGCGGAGAAGGAGCGGAAGGAGTGGTTGGCGATGGGACCTCTCCGGGCCAGGGAGAAGGCCGAACGGCCCAGAGACCTGGCTACTGAGGCCATTGTGAGGAGAGAGAGGGGAGGAATGAGGAGGGGGGTGTGGTGGGCGGAGGATTGGAGGGTTTAGATGTTTTTTTGATGGTGATGGGATTGGATTGGATTGGATGGGAATGGACTGGGCACTATGCCTCTTTGGGAAGGCGGCCCTTTCACCGCCATCCAAATTGCTGGACATTCCTGACAGTATGCGACTCGAGTAAGTAGTAAGTTAGCTTTTGCATCTTATCATTTCCTATGTAACAGGCAGAATTAACTGACGTTTGCAGAGATATCTCCTGAGTCACTTATATTAACTAATTGCCTGTCTGACGATTCCATCCAATTAAGCCTAAATCAGGCATGCATACCTCTGTCTAGCTGGCTGGTGCCCAGTCACAGTGCTGATAATCAACTTCTTAATCCCCCCCCCCAACACCTACTACTTGGCTACGTATTCCCGAGTATTTGTTCTGTTGATCGATCCACTATCCCATCGATATACAAATAATCCTTCCACCATGGCGATGCAGAACCAATCCCTGAAGTTCTGCTTCGTGACTGTGGGAGCTACCGCTTCTTTCAACCTCCTCATTCAGTCGATTCTGGAGCAACCCTTTCTACGTGAGCTGCGCGCACACGGCTACACTAACCTGCTGGTCCAGTACGGCAAAGAGGGCAAGATCCTCTTCGATGAATTCCTGCGCCAGTATCCTCCTGGTAGTGAGGGCCAGCACGGTCTACTGATCGATGGATTCGACTTCAATCCCGACGGATTGGACAATGAAATGCGTCTTGCTAAGGCCTGGCCCTCGGAAGGTCGAGTTGGGGGTTTGATTGTCAGCCATGCCGGTATAGTTGTACCTTCGCTTACTAACTTCCCAATCCGCAAGCTGACCACGATGACTCCAGGATCCGGCAGCATTATGGATGCACTAAGATTGGGCGTGCCTCTTGCGGTGGTACCCAACCCGACCCTCAAAGACAACCACCAGCAGGAGCTTGCCGATATCCTCCAAGAACAAGGTTATCTCATTGCGAGTCACTATCGGTAAGTTCTTCGATCTTTGCTTGTGTGGTGAACCCCGAATTGAACTCCAATTAGGGATATTGCGACAGCAGTTGATAGGGCTGAACGCCTGCGAGTTCAGATGGCCAAATGGCCGCCGGTCTCCAAGGCCCAGGAAGTCCCTCCTCCAAGCTTGGATCAAGTCATGTCTGACGAATTGGGCTTCTTGGATTGATGGTCTGGCACGGCCCAGAGTTTTATACTCATCACACATGTGTGGGCGATTTGCAATGGCGTTGCGGAGCGTGGGTACTTTAGTATAGAATAGGAATGGCTTTGAATGTTTGCAATCACCAATGGCGCATTAGCATCCATAGTTGAGGTTTAGTGGTTTTCGCTAACTATGAACACCTTGATCATCTATGTCTCCTCTCAGATATAAGCCCGAGGCACGTAGTATGAAAAAGTATAGGAGAATGGGGTGTTAAAGAGAAGTTGAAGTCGAGGATTGTTGGTGGAGTGGCCCAAGCTTCTCCGCGCGGGCAGATCCAACTAAACCGACTGACTTACTTTCCCTTCCCCGAAACGCGCAAAAAGAACCACCACCGACTTTCTTGTCCTTTTCATCCCCTCCCTTTTCTCCCCTCCCACGCATTGCTCTTCTACCATCTATGTCTTTGGAATACTGTATCTCATAAACTCAAACGTATTCCGACCAATTCCTTCATCTCACCAGCCATCTAACTCGGCCGCGGGGGCCTTCCACTGCATATAAACAATCGACGACCCAAAACACCCGCTCCGAACCTCAACCAGCGCTCCGCTTCCCCTTTCCTACTCCCTCCCCACAATGGCAGAAGCCACCCTTCACAACGCCCCGATAGTCATCGACAATGGCAGCGGCACCATCCGCGCCGGCTTTGCGGGGGAGGAGATCCCCTCGTGCTTCTTCCCCTCGTTCGTCGGTCGGCCCAAACACCCGCGGGTGATGGCCGGTGGCCTGGAAGGCGACGTCTTCATCGGCTCCCGCGCCCAGGAACTGCGCGGCCTGCTCAAGATTCGGTATCCGCTGGAGCACGGCATCGTCACGGACTGGGACGACATGGAGAAGATCTGGCACTATGTGTACGAGAACGAACTGAAGACGCTGCCGGAGGAACACCCCGTGCTCTTGACGGAGCCACCGCTCAACCCGCGCAAGAACCGCGATGCCGCCGCCCAGATCATGTTCGAGACCTTCAACGTCCCCGCGCTGTACACCTCCATCCAGGCCGTCCTGTCGCTATACGCGTCCGGCCGGACGACGGGCGTGGTGCTCGATTCAGGGGATGGCGTGTCCCACGCGGTGCCGGTGTTCGAGGGCTTCGCCATCCCCAACAGCATCCGGCGGATCGACGTCGCCGGGCGGGACGTGACGGAGCAGCTGCAGCTGCTGCTCCGCAAGAACGGCCATGTGCTGCATACCAGCGCGGAGAAGGAGGTGGTGCGCATGATCAAGGAGAAGGTGTGCTACGTGTCGTTGGACCCCAAGCGGGAGGAGAAGGATTGGATGAACAACTATCACAAGTCGGAGACCAAGTCGGTGGACTATGCTTTGCCGGACGGGCACAAGATCAAGGTACGAGATCTATCATGAGTGGATGGAACATGTTTGGTCTCTAATAGCTACGCATAGATCGGGCAAGAACGCTACCGCGCGCCGGAGATCCTCTTCGACCCGGAACTCATCGGTCTGGAGTATCCGGGAGTGCATCAGATTGTCCAAGATGCGATCACTCGGACGGATCTCGACTTGCGCAAGTCCTTGTACCTCAACATTGTCCTCTCCGGAGGCTCGACATTATGCAAGAACTTCCCCGATCGGTTGATGCGGGAGATCAAGCGCTTGGCTGTGGAGGACATGAAGATTCGGATCTCTGCTCCTGCTGAGCGGAAATACACGACCTGGATTGGGGGAGGTATCCTCGCTGGTTTGAGCACATTCCGCAAGGTAATCGTCCCGCATTCGAAATGGCTTAGAGTTATGGCTAACGAGGATCACCAGATGTGGGTGAGCGCGGACGAATGGCACGAAGATCCTGAGATTATTCATCGGAAGTTCGCTTAATCGTGATGCATCGCAGGACGACGTCCCGATTGAGGACAACATGACATGATCGACGGGCAACAACCCCATCGCGCAGAAGTCAGTAGATGCATCTGAGGGCACGAATGACTAGCATGCACGAAGGGGGTGGTTGTCTAAGCCGGTCCCTAAAGAAGTCCGGGGCCAAACCATAACCAACAGCAGCCTTTTCATTAGATACCCCTGCACCCTTCTCAATCTCTCTGCCTTCGACACTCCAAACAACTATCCACCTTTTCTAAAGCACCCCAGGTGATACGTTTCGTGCATATATTTCTCGACGACCATACAACCTATCACTTCTACGTATGCCCCCTATGCACGCGCACGCGCACGCATACACGCAACCGAGCCGAGGTGCATTAGATCCCAATTGTCACACCTCCCTGCTTGGCAAGTATCGTCATTGGCCTTGCTGGGACGGATCATTCACCACGCGAATCGCAATTCGAGGTCTTCGGAATGAACCCTCACTGGTGCTGGGGAGTGATTTTAACGAGTAAATTGAGCCATGATAAACAACATTTCCCTCTTGCTCCTTGCCAAGTGGTCTCCAACCTCTTCCCTTTGACAGTACTTTTTTGTGTAAATATTGGATGGCATAGATGAGATCAGATGAATGAGCGATTGACCCACCAGTTTCTTGAATGCCCGCTGCATGGCACCTCTTCCAACTTCTGGGAAAGTCTTTGCGACCTGCAACCCAGAGCCCCATAACGAGCTGATTGAGCGTGCAAAGAGAATCCACCGTACTATCAAACACGTTGAACACCAACCAACCTGAAGGAGTAGCGTGCACCCACATGGTGACACCAAGCGCACCAAGCCCAGCCCCCTCGGCCCCAAAGCCCACCCATCTAGTGACCATATACTATATTATTCTGTTCCACCATCTTGACACCGTAATGCAGGACGATGGGTCGAGTAGTCTCGTCTCGTTTAGTCTCATCTAGAAATAAGTCGCCGTGCTGTTGACCAAATGCGCGTGGGATCTCTTCTTGCATGGAATGTTAAGTACTATTATTATCTATGCAACCCTCCTCATATGGAACTGTTTCGTGCTAATGAAACCTCAGGGTATACTACTACGGCGGTGTCCATCGACAGAGAAAAGACGTGGTATAGTATAGCTCGGTGACGGCCGAAGACAAGAGATATAAAGAAGGGCCAGTGAAAAACTTACAGTACAGCAGCCCTCCGGCAATCAGGCCACCCCATACATATACTTCAACCTTCTTCGGTTCTCGTCCCGAGTTGCAAGTGATACCGTATTTTTCGTTTACTAGAGTACAGTACCCTCGGTGCTTCTTCCCCACGTACCCAGTCCCTACCAACATGACATGACCACAATCCCAATCCACTCAGTCGTTTGGCAATCCACCATGGAGACGATCTCAATGCCCCCAGAGACCAAGCAAAGAACAGTGGCATCCCCGCCATTTACGACCTTTAACCCGTCATAAATCAATCACGCCACATCGTACAATAGTACGTACGTATGACACGCATCTATGTAATACATCCAGCACAAGCACAGCTCTAGATCAACCTCTTGAAGGGAATCTAGACCCGATCCCGACTAACCCCATCATCCTCTCGGACCTCGGGGTCCTGGACGAACGAGAGAAAAGAAAGAAAGAGAAAGGGCTTTCTTTCATCATGAGTAGGTCAAGGGTGTTAAGGTTTGGAGCCATCCCGAGCGAGGTGCGGGCAGTGAGTGGTTCACGGAAGGCTGGCTGCCATCTCCGCCGCCGCCCCCGGATTCTTTCGTCCTTCGTACTCGAGTTGGCTGACTCGACTCGGGAGGTCTCCACTCCTGCTTAGTGATTGAGTCTGGGTTGCAAGGATGACTCTCGTCCTCTCTCTTATCGCGTTTGCACTCCCTGTGTCTTGTACGTGGGTCTTGATTTGCTGGGTCGGTACTACTCTGGGGGTTTGAGATGGCTAGGTACTGCTGGAAGGATGATTTTACAGTAATGGAGGGAAAGGTTGGGCTCGTCTGTTCTTGGTTTCATTTCCACACGCTCTCGGGGAAGTAGCTAGCTAAAGGGGTTGTACAGGTGATAGTGTTCTGCTCATTCGCTCGTTCATGTGTGAAGAATGAAGGAGTGGTCAGGTACATGAGCTGTAGCTTCGAGTATGCTGCGCTGCGGTGGATGAAGGATCCAGGGGTGCTGTGGTGAAGTTTGGATGGCAGACAAGACCAAAGGAGAAAAAAAAAAAAAAAAGAAAAGATGCCATGCGATGTTGATCCAGTATTGAATCAAATTTCAAACATAGCTGGTTGGGGTATCATGTTGAAGAGATGTGAATGCGATTCGAAGGTTGAAAGGTTGAAAATGTTGAGATGAGAGTTCCCAGAAACTCAGGGAGTGTAAACAGTGGCACCCCTTGTTGGTTGAAGGTTGAAGGTTCAAAGAAATTAGATAGATGCGTAGTTGGGGGGAGGACACATGCAGGTAGAGGTCGAATCCCCCCGAGACGAAAGTAAGGCGGCAAAATCAAGAACTTTTTTTTGGGGTGGGGGTCGTAAAGTCGTGAGTCATGATCCAGAAGGACGAAGTTCGCAGGCGCTTTGGTGAACAAGCAGAGGCTGAAAATGAATACGTTGGAAAGTCGCAAAGTGGCTGGTTGTTCCGGGTTGGCTGGCTTAGGCCATGCCCCGGAGCTTGCCCCAGCCCTTATTCAGGCCTCGGAGAGCACGCTCGCGCGCGGAGCCAGAGCTGCTGCTGGTGCCGTTGCTGCTGGCGGAGAACTTGCGCGACAGACTGCTGGACGAGTCGTCGCTGAAGACCATGTTGCCGGCACCGCCGCGGCCGACGTGGTAGACGGGCGCGGCGCGGCGGAGCTCCCGTTCCAACTCCTCGTCGAAGCTGAAGATGGCGCGCTCGCTGCCACTGTGGACGTTCCCGGCGCCGCCCCGGCCAGACTTGAAGGTGCTGGGCACGCGCGAGTCGAGGCGCGTCAAGGAAGCCGGGCCAGAGGCCGTCTGCGAGGGAGTGGTCTTGGTGCCCTTGAGATTGATGACATTGCCGGCGCCTCCACGGGCCGTGTGCAGAGCTGGACGGCCGGTGTGAGGAACCGATGGGTGCGGTTCAATGACTCGATATGATCCCGGCATGGTGTATTGTGTATGTGGGTTGTGGTGGTGTGCGGGTGAGAAGAGGTATGTATGCAATTGCGCTAATTGGCGATGACTCAACGCAGCGATGATGCAATGGCGATGAGGGACAAGACGTGCAATTGGGACTCGGTTTATATGCGAATTGGTATCGAGCCGAGAG